TATATATATATATAATTGAAATGATCATTTTCGAGGTTGAATTCTTGGTATAATAATGTATTATACCTCGAAAATTATAGGAATTTTCACGAAATGTATACGAATTGTTGAAAATTTTCAGAGAAGACGTTTTTGTTGGGTTTTTAGGAATCCATTGCCACGACAATATAAAAACTGTAAGTTGCAATACATGGGGAATGCGAACACGTGCGGAAAGGTTGAGGATTAGTAGTAAAACATATCGGATAATTACTCGGGAATCTTGCAACATAAGTAGGCCTATATATTAACGTGGCGATCTACCAGGGAACATATCAGGAGTCTATCAATATATTGACAGACTCCTGAACATATGTTTGAGATTCCATAGCAATAAAACGCACGAGGCCGTTAAAGTAAAGTAAAGTAAAGTAAAGTAAAGTAAAGTAAAGTAAAGAAAAGTAAAGTAAAGTAAAGTAAAGTAAAGTAATCTTTATTTTCATCGCTACAGGACATACAGCCTTTACAGGGTAACATGAGCTATTGAAATAGCTCTTAAACAGATATCAAACAAATGTAAGATAACAAGTGTATGATAACAGAATATATGGTAGTATGACATGACTTAGGATTTTTTTGTTACATATCACATTTCAGACAGATAAAATGATTAAAACTGATGAAATGAAAAAAAACATATAGGTTATAGGACTGGTAGCTGATAGAGATTTCTGAGAATTTCAACTCTTTTAGTAAGAATAATAATTGTGTCATTGAATGTTTAATATCGCGCGCGTAGCCAATGCGAATATATAAAGTGAATTCTCCACCCGCCATATTTACTTCCATCACGTGACCGGTTTTCATGCATCGTTTCTTTAAATATTCACTGGTTATTCAAAATGAACCAGATCTATAAAGACAAGATTATCAAGTGTCCCCTCAAAAGCCAACCCGATCTGTCGCACTTTTAATAGTCACCAGGTTTATCAAAAACCAGTCCGTATATCGTATATTCGTACGTAAATTTGTGCATTTATAATGCGCCGCCATCTTTATTTACTCCACGCGACGCGATCTTATTACCTCCGCCAGGGGCTTGGCGGGGGTTATGTTTTCACCGGCGTGTGTTTGAGTGTTGGTTTGTGTGTTTGTGGGTTTGTTCAAAATGTCACATTGAGAGAACTCAGCTGCCTTGGCGGAAGTCTGTGCTCTCCGAGTGCTCTAGTATTATAATTAGGTTTAGGTCAATGCTTTCGTTGTAAACATTCGCACAATCTTCTATTAAAAAAATCGCGCCACAAATACACATTAATTGGTGTTTTTCCTTATTCAACGACTGACCCGTTATTTCGCAACCTTTTCATCAATCGCCGTCTTCTTAGATGAGATATGTTCTTCGAGCACGCCTCACACAAAGACGTATCCGTGCATTTCCGCGCGAAATGAACTGCATGGGGACTATTGTCAGAAACAAAATGAACCCTAACATTAATCCTAACATTAACTTCACCTCTCAGACCGTTGAAAGAAAAACACGGTAAAGTTACGAGTTTGTCATATATACGCAGTATATATAGCGGCCCTAAAAAACGTTCACGTTAAAATAAGATATATATTTTACATTATAATATCACGTTAAGACTAATTTCCCTTCTGAAAATCCCCCACCCCAAACACATAACAGAAAACATTAACGCTAAGACTATATCACGTTAAGACCAACTTTCCTTCTGAAAACGCCACCCCCGAACACCCACCCCTGATCGTTCGCAACGTACCATCCCTCCCCAGGTTCTTCAGGAAGAACCCGACCTACAAGGACAAGTTCTCGCACTTCCGTGACCAGAGCCTTGACGAGCTGGCGAAGGGGGGTAACCCTAAGCTGCAGGTGCACGCTTCGTCCGTGTTCGACTCGTTCGAGGCGATGGTTGAGAATATCGACGACGTTGCCATGACGTCGTCTCTGTGGGACAACACCTCGCGTCGCCACTACGTGTCGCACGGCATCGACTTCCATCACTTCGAGGTAAGAAGCGTTAGAAGAGTTAACTTATATTACGAACACATCTCCTCTCTCTCTCTCTCTCTCTCTCTCTCTCTCTCTCTCTCTCTCTCTCTCTCTCTCTCTCTCTCTCTCTCTCTCTCTCTCTCTCTCTCTCT